CGCTGTGACTGACGACCACCTGTTCGGTTTGTAGCTCTCCCAGGGGACTACTGCAGCTGAAGGCCGCACGTTCCAGCGTGAACTCCTGACTCTCTATGCTGCGAGGAGGCTCGAGATATCCCCCATCATCCGCTCGGGGAGGCGTCGTGGACCTCCTTTCGGAAGCAGGCCAGTCTCCGAGCGCAGCCGCGCCCTCTGCGGCATTCCCGACTGTCGCCACGATACTGTTGCCAGGGGGGGGCGAATTTCGGCCGCATCTTCCGCCTCAACAACGAGCCCGCCCCCAGGACGCTGATAGGAATGAGGGGCTGTAGGAACTCCTGCTTGGTCATTTCCTGGAGGGGAAGGCACCGGCGCGCTGTGGCTGACGACCACCAGTTCGGCCCGTAGCACTCCCAGGGGACTACTGCAGGTGACGCCCGCACGTTCCAATGTGAACTCCTGACTCTCTATGCTGCGAGGAGGCTCGAGATACCCTCCACCCACCGCTCGGGAAGGCGTCGTGAACCTGATGTCGGGAAGGCCGGTCTCCGACCGCAGGCGCGCCCTCCGCGGAGCCACCACCTGTCACCGTGACACTGCCACTAGGAATGGGCGCGCTGTCGGGGGCATATTCGGCCTCCACCAAGACTCTGTCTGGGACGCTGATATGAATGAGGAGCTGTAGGAACGCCTGTCTGCATGTCTCTGACAGAAGGAAGAACCGACCCGACGCGGCTGACCACCGCGTGCTCTGTCTGCAACTCTCCCTGGCGACTGATGCAGCTCACGGCCGCTGGTTGGCAACTGTCTTCAGGCGAAACGCCACCTCCAGATTTGCAGCAATCGTCAACGTCAGATTTACGATTGTCTTCAGGCGGGTCGGTTCTGCGCCCAGGGAGCGCGCTCGCGACGGCGTCCGCCGCGCGCCCGGCAGCCTGGGCCAGGGCCGCGACGGCCGCCCAGAGGGAGGCCTGCGCAGCCTTTGCGGCGGCAGCGGCGCAGGCACACGCGGCGGCGGCGGCGGCTGCGTCGGGCGCAGCACTGGCGCCGACTGCGCGGACGCTTGGGGCGTCAGCAGCGTCGGCGGCGAAGGCGGCGCGGGGCGCGGGCCGCCGGGCACGGGCGGCGCCGACTCGCCCGAGGGCGTCGGCTGCGTCCGCGGCCCTGGTTGGCGCGCGCGCGTGGGCCGCCGCAGCCGCGTCGGCCCCCCTGAAGGCGCCGGCGGCGGAGGCCGCGGCGGGGCAGCCATCGCCAGCGGCGCCAGCGGCGTTGGCGGCGCCAACGGCGGCGGACGCGCCCAAGGGAGAGGACGCCTCCGACGCGTTGGCAGCGCCAACCGCGTTGGCCGCGCTGGCGAGCCCAGGGGGGCGGCCGCCGGCCGCGGCAGCAGCGCCCAGGCGGCGCAGATTCGCAGCACGCCCTTGTCGGCGCCGCCGCGCCGCCGCAGTCTCCATCGCCCGGGGCTGCGCGCCAAACACGCATGGGGGGAGCGCGCCGTCTTGACTGCCAGGAGTACCAGGGTAGCGACTGAAGGTCGCCCTTTTACTCTGCACTGCCAGGCATCTGCTTGCGACCCCGCTACTTCCTCGGCTGAAGGCCGAATTGTTACTCGCACGTCGCCATGAAACACGGGATGAATCGGCGAATCCGAGGTGGGGTTGATCGGCATGCTGGGGACTGGATCTGCCTGAGACGCTGGCTGCGCTGCACGGTAACGACCCAGGGGGCAGCTGAAGGCTGCACTTCCGGTGAAAGAATCCTCCAGATAGTCGTCAGTCGCCCTGGTAACCACGGCTGGAGCCGCCTCGAAATTCTGAGTTCCTGGTCCCCTGAGGCTGGCGCTGCTGCAGCTGCTTCGGCTGCCGTTGCTGCCGCTGCTGCCCTGCTGGTGCGTCCGCCCGCTGGGAGCCTGTTGGCGCTGCAGCGGCGCGGCCGCGGCGGCGCCAGCCGCGGCGGGCCCATGCGCGGCAGCGCGGGCCACAGCGGCCGCGGCGCAGGCCGCGTGGCCCGCGGCCGCAGCGGCGGCCGCCTCCGCCACGGCCGCGGCGGCGGCGGCGGCGGCCGCCGCGGCGCAGGCGGCCGCAGGGGCGGCGGCGGCACTGGCCGCCGAGCCCGCGGAGCAGGCCCCAGCGGCGCCCGCGGCGCCGGCGGCGCCCGCGGAGCCAGCGGCCTCGCCGGCGGCGGCGGCGCCAGCGCCGCGCCCGGCGCCCGCGGCGCCTGCGGCGCCAGCGGCGTCGGCGGCGCCCGCGGCGCCACAGGCGGCGGCGGCGCCCGCGGAGCCGACGGCGACGCCGCGGCGGCGGCGGCGGCCGCGGCGGCGCGGGGGCGGCAGCGCCGGCGGCACAAGCCGCAGCAGAGGGCGGCCCGCGGCGGGCCGCGCAGCCAGGCAGCCAGCAGGGGGCGGCAGCCCCGGCGGCGGCCGCGGAGGGCCGCGCGGCCGCGCTGCCAGCAGGGGCCGCGGCGGCGGCCGCGGCGGCGGCCCCGGCCGAGCAGCCGGCCGCCGCGGCGGGGGCGGCGCAGGCGGCAGCCAAGTACAGCGGCAGGCCAGGCGGCGGCGCCGCGGCGGCCACGGCAGCCGCGCCGGCGGTGCCAGCTCGGCGTGCGGCCGCCGCCCGCCGCTGCTGCCGCCAGCAAGCCGTGCGCGCCGACGGCGACATCAAAGCGAGGCTTGCGACACAGAGACCCACGGCCGCGCGAGGGCTCACCGTGGGGATCGTGCGAGAAGAAAGAAAGCCTGCTGCAGGCGCGCACGCCTCGGGCCAGCCTTTGAGCCAGAGGGCTTGAGCCAGAGGGGGCTACGGACGCTGGTGGGGACACGCGAGGCGTCAAGAATTGGTCATTCTCAATCATCGGGCGCCCATGCCAGGCCCGAGGACCGTCACTACCCAGCATGGCACCCTCCAGCAGCAGCAAGCGTGCAGAGGCGGGTCGAGGAGCAGGAGGCCGACTATGGGGGGACAGGGGTGAGAGCACGGCCATGGGTACTTCAGTGCACTTCTGCCAGGGATCGTGGTCGTCGCGACCAACCGGGTGGTCGGCATCGGGGCGAGAGCACGACTTCTGGCTAGATTGCAGGGAAAATTCCAGGCGAAACGGCTCCAAGACCAAGCATCCTCTAGCTTCCCGCCCCCCCCTGTGGGACTCTTCCGTGCACCTTGATGATTTGTACCAGGGATCGTGGCCGTCCCGACAAAGAATGCAGCCGGCATTGAGGCGAGAGAACGACTCTTGAATAGATTGCAAGGAAATCTTAGGCGAAACGGTTGCCCCACCAGCTGCCGGACCCAACGTCCTCGGGCTCCTGGTCCCAACTCTAGAATTTTTCTGCGGTCCCAGCAAAACGTATGAAGGAAAAACAGCTGGGGATGAAAAACAGTCCGAGAATACCGCTGGCGGTCCGCGTTGCGGAAAAATCAGCACGTCGGGGGTCTGGGCAAGTACCAACCAGACAAACCCTGCGGAGGTCAGAAATCAGACGATGCAGTTGATTCAATCCGAAAGGCCCCAGACGGCTCGACCTCTTCCTCCGGGGACAGTTTCGTTTTGGATCAAAGTTCGCTAGCCCTGGGGACCGAAAAACGATCCACCGAGATCGAGGCGAAGAGACAACGCCGCGATCTGAACAAAATCAATCAGAGGAGGTCAAGGGAGAATAAGAGGAGGAGTAGGAGGAGGAAGTGGACCTGAGTAAAACCCGAGATGCATCAACGATGCTGAAACACACCAGCTCGTCCCGAGTCTACTCCTCATTGGCCCCATACAAACATGACTTGTCACTGCGCAGCGCCCCCTTGCAAAATGAACGCCCGATGGGCCTGCAATTCAGGCAAGAGCTCCGCTTTGACAAAAAACACCCTCCATCCATGCAACTGCTGCACACTGTTCGGGAAATATTGACCGTGAGACAACACCAGGTCTCCAGCGAAAGCTTGATGTTAAAAAGGAACCACCCTCCAACCGCGTAACTGCTACATATATTCAAGACGATCGTGCGCGGCCCCAAGGCATGAAGGACTGTAAGCATATGATTAACTGACGAATGTGCGCGTCGCAAAGGCGAAAACACCCTTTAAAAAACTATCCGCACTCCATCTGCGAAACTGCTGGGATTTGTCAAAATAAAGCGCTCGCGGCGCCAAGGCGAAAGCCCCATGTTGCAAAGGACTCGCCCTCCATCCGCGAAACCGTGGTAAACGTTGTATTTCGACCTCGTAGACGCTGTGAGTTGGTCGGAGGCGAAAAGTGCAACCCGCCACAACGACACGTCTAGTCTTGCGGGAAGGAGGAAGCATGTATGACGACGACGGGTAGGGGAAGAGGAAAGGAAGGAGGAGCAGGGGGGGGAGAAGGACGGGGAGGAGGAAGAGGATGAGGATGAGGATGAGGATGAGGATGAGGATGAGGATGAGGATGAGGATGAGGATGAGAATGAGGATGAGGATGAGGATGATGATGATGAGGAGGAGGAGGAGGAGGAGGAGGGGAGGGAGGGGAGGAGGGGGAGGAGGAGGAGGAGGACGACGACGACGAGGAGGAGCAGGGGAGGAGGAGGAGGAGAGGAGAAGAAGAAGAAGAAGACAAGAAGAAGAAGAAGGAGGAGGAAAAGGAAGAGGAGGAGGACGAAGAAGAGAGAAGGAGGGAGGAGGAGAGGAGAGAGGAGAGGAGAGGAGCGGGGAGGAGGAGAGGAGGAAGAGGAGGAGAGGAGGAGGAGGAGGAGGAGGAGGAGGAAGAGGACGGGGAGGAGGAACAGGAGGAAAAATGGGACGAGGGGGAAAACAGGAGAAAGAGGAGGAGGAAGAAGATAGGAGAACAGGAGGAAGCGGAGGAGGAAGAGGAGGACGAGGAGGAGGAGGAGAAGGAGGAGGAGGAGGAGGAGGACAAGGAGGAGGAGGAGGAGGAGGAGAACGGGAAGGAAAGGCAACAGCAGCTCGCCGTCCCCTTGCCGAGCTCGATCGCCGAATCGAAACAGCACGGACAACGGGGCCGTGGCCGCCCAGGCGGGCCGGCCCGACCGCGGCTCTGGCGCAGCGACATGCGCGAATTGGCCGCGCCCCCGCGGCCCGCCCCACGCCGGCACCTGGGCGGGCCATCGCCGTCCTTGGAGGCCAACGTGCACAACCAACGGATGCGACAAGCGAAGAGGAGATGGAGGAAGGCGGGGAGGGCGACCGCGAGAAGCAGATGGCGAAAGTGGGAGCGGGGCTCTGCCGCAGGCGACGCGAAAACAGCCTCTTTGTTTTATGTTGCGTGCTCCATCACAGCGGACCTCGGCATACGCATGTCGTTTACCGAACAAACTGACCAGCATCAGTGCAAGAGGTTCGAGGCCACCCAACTTCGCGAATCGCGCCGCGCGGTGCGCGGCGCGCGCTCATCTTCGCGCCGGCGCAATCTCGCGCCGCCACCCCGTGGAGCAGGCCGCGGCGCGCGAAGGGCGCGTATCTTCGTGCCCCTGCAAGTGGCCGAAAGGACTCGAGTGAGCCCTCTGGCTCGGGAGCACCAAGAATGCGTTGGAGCCCCATTCTGAAAATGTTTAGCCTGTGGGGGCCGACCTCCAGCCCCGTCACCGTCAAAAAACAAATTCGAAACCGAAGAAAGTACCGTGGTTAGAGGCCCAGATCCATGGGAGCCAACGTCACCACAAAATGCGACGGCGGAGGAGGACAATGCGGATCGCGAGGCAGCCGTGAACACAAAGAAAGAGCACTCGGCGTGCATACACACAATACCATACACACACGCAAAAACACAGACACACACACACACATGCACATGCAAACTCAAATGCTCTCTCACTCTCTCACACACATACGCGCACACACACACACATACACATACAAATAAACATACACACACGTGTTTCCTATCGGCGGCGCAAAGGGTCCTCAAGCACGAACAGCACATGAAGGCCCGAATTACGACCGAACGTCGTCGACGGCACCCAAGCAGCACCACCGAAACACGCCAGCACTGGGCGCGAAAGACGAATTGCACAAGCGAGACGTGCAACGGCCAGACAACGAGGAAAATCGCTGGCCCAACGGGCCGCTGTTTCATGGTAATATCCACCGATCGACCTGAGATCAAGATGGCGATCGGGAATAAGATCGAAGATGGCGCCGCTCCGCTCTTAGGAAAGCTCTACAAGTCACTTGAGATGGAAACCTAATATGTCGGGCGAAAACTTCTGCCATCGAATGCTTCGCTCTCTTCAAACCTTAGCCCAAACGAATCGTCAAATCACGAGATCGGCTGAGCCAGCCCGCGGACTGAAGCCGGCGGTAAACCGTCAACCTTGGTTCTGCGGTTCTGCGCAGGCCGATTCGAGATCCCACGGGAGCAGGCCAGGACACAGAGGAAGATATCAAGCAGCGGAGCTGTAAAGAGGCAGCGAGGCTGGAAGATCAAACAGCGAAGCTGTCAGGTGAGTCAAGATTGCACTATCCACCCAGAAGTGCGCACAGATCAGAAACACCCACCAATAAGCTCTGTGACGCAGCCAGTTCGGCCTGAGTGACTGTGCAATGGGAGGGGAGCATAAAGGCTCGCCTGGCCATACCAGGCCGCCACTTGCGGGATGGTAGCCCAGGAGGAGAAGAGTAAAGGGGCAAGTTAGAGGGCATAAAAATATCAATCACCCAGCCACATGATGTGCCTAGCTCGCAACTGCCGCCATCAAAAGAGCCCCATCACCGCATGTACACAAAGATGACCCACACGTATAAGTTGTAATATGTTGCGATCCCACCGAACATATGTTGTTGTTTGCCGCTCTCTGGCATGGTGTGTCTCATGGTCCCCCTCCTCGTTACCCTCCCGATATACCCACTTCCAGATATCACGGCCTGCTTCTGGGCTGAATATTGGATACTGCGGACCTCATGCATACAGCTGGTTCTGCATACTGGAGATGGTGCGTGCATACACTTCATTCAGGCACTTGTATCGGCCCGTCAACCATCTAGTCACACATTGGCTGTCGCCCCGCAATTCCATACATAACCAGTCTGCCTTGATCCCCCATCGTGTCTCATCCGCGAACAATGCCGCCAATCTTGTAGCTTGACGGTCGAGTTATTTCTGTTGTTGCGCAGCAATACTATCCTCCTCCTCCTCCCGGCGCGCACCCGAAGAAGCGTCTTTGATCCGGCAGAACTCTAAAATCTGTGTCAAGTCAAGTTGCCTAAGCGTATCGACTAGAAATGACCTCCACCCCTGCTCATTTCAACATACATTGGTCCCACAGGGGTCCCTGTGCGATGTCAAACAAAATTAACCAAGGATAAAGACCCTGAACAACACGATGTTGGCACCGAAGGGTCAAGGCACGGCCCCGAGATCCAAACGAACATATCATAGCATCTCTATGCTCAGTATAGCCCCCTGACGCGTGGAGCATGCAAAACGCGCTCTGCATTGAGGGAGTAGGCCACGCACTAGTAAATTCATGACGCGCACGCTAACGGGCTTGTATAGGGGCGGGCGGGCGTTCCAAAGATGGCGCACCGTCACGACGCTGGCGCACAGCACGTTTCATATCACTAATCTGTTGACGACGACTTCGTGCTGGCACAGGGGCACAGGGGGCGGATGTAACAAGCGTGCTACACAAGATATCTGGCTCCACCTTTTCCTGTGCAAAATGCCCTGGCTAAGATCATCGAGAGAAGGCCGTCCTAGATCACCATGCGCCGTACAAACAACGTGCTTAGCGAACAACCACTGCCGATACAAAGTAAGTTGCACCAGCGATGGTCGAGATGCACTAAGCAATAACATTCGTGCGTGACGGGCACGGCCACTCCAGTAGTCAGCCCACGTCTCCGTGGCCCTCTTACGACGACGGCACAGGGCTGAAAGGACCTTACTCTCCTCCACATGTAACAGAGTCGAACTGTTCACATCGCAAGTGGTGCCCTCGAAACCGCACAAGAAAGCGCTCCGTGCACGGCCGTCGCACCTGTTGAACTTCCGTGTCATCGGCACCAAAAGGCTCTCATAGAAGGATCGATCCGTCCAGCAATTCCTGCGGGCAGCTGCCAGACGATGCTTGATGTCCCAAAGCTCGGAAAATTCCGTACCCAGCAGAGTGCCCAACGCATTGACGCGGGTGACCTGCGGGATCCCGCAAGTAAGAGACGGGGAGGCAGATCCAACAGCTTGGGTGGGCACTGTGCTTTAAAGTGAACGTGGTGGACCAACATGACCACAGGCAAGATATTATAAAGAGCACTGCTTCCAAGCAAAACAGCGTTAATGAATAGACTCCGTTGAATCGGCAAGCATAGATAGCATATCTTTACGCGTCGATGCAGCCAGGATGACATTGTCGGCTCACCACCAATGGTTGACAAGTAACTTAGAGGCCCCAAACGACAGCTGCACACCATAACCTCGATCACGCCATCGTGCAACAACAGGTGATAACATGCACAAAAATTTGGCCACCCATGATGCTGGTGCCTCCATGGAGCCCGTGCGGATACAAGAGCCCCATCGAATACCCTCGACGGAGCACTGCTGAAACGTGAGCTCTGCCACATTATTGGCATAACTCTCAAAAACAGCATGCACAATCTCGGGATTCATTACAATTTCAAGCAAGAATTCAGCAGCCGAACGAACTGTGAGATAATCAAAAGTCTACGTAAAACTCACAAATCACGTTGTGGCAATCCTCCTCCATCCACAAGACAGCATGCCTGGCTAGCTGTTTCAAGGGCGCGGTAATCTCATAACATGTATGCCAAACAACAGAACCATACAGTTGACATCCCTTCGGCGCAACCGTCTCGACGTGGGCCTCAAGCAAGATTGTGAGACAACAACTGATACAGTCACCAAAGACCAAGAGCATGGCAAGAGCCCGTGCCTCGTCAAAGCTGCGCGCCTTCGGCCCCCTCAACATAAAACTCACCAGAATACGACGCCATGATGATGGTGAAACAATCCGTCGATCCAACAGCTTCTGGCAACCAAAAAAATGGCGAAGAGCCTCACACGGCAGCGCCTTGAGTACAGATGCTGACATACCATCTGTCCCCGTGGCCTTCCCCTCACGCAGACGCGCGCGAGCCCGCAGAAGAAGACCCATAGCTATCGGACAAGTTTGACCTGGGCCTCGAGATGCCCTGGCATTTTGGCATGTCTCCCAAACTTCCTCAAGGCAACCTTTGGTGTCCTGGCGGCGCGTCTCACACGAGTACCGCTGAAAACCGTGCGACCGAAGAGCTTCCTCCCACTTACTCACATCCTGCGTCAATTCACCCTCCACACGCATGTGCGTGGCCTTCGGTTTCCGCCGAACTCCCTCCCGATTCAGGTATAAAAGCCGGCTGCGACTCATGTCACGATGAACCTTCCGTCACCGCCTCAAACTACTTTTGGACACCTCCTCCCGCACCTCCCCCATACGGTACTGTTTCCTGATCTGGAAGCGCTCCTCCTTAATCCTCAGCTGTTCCTCTGAAAGCCTCGGGAACCCAGAAGATTGACCACCACCCTTTGGGGATAAGTTTGAAGTCTCCAGGGCACCCTCCATGATGGCAGTAAGAGATGAGCTCCAGGGGGTTCTCATCAAGGTACTCGGAGAGCGCAGGAAAGCGGTTACACTGGCACACTGAGCGCTCGATCCAGACAGCCCATCTTGTGGACCTCGGAGCCAACCTGCAGTTTCCAGCGAGCGAGCGAGAGCCGCCGACGGGGACGCGTCTTGGCCTGGTGCTCGGGAAGGACAATCTGCAACAATTTGTGATCACTAAATGTCAGCTCACGGGCACGTGTTTGAGCAACCTCAGACGGCAACATCCAACAACAACATACTTCAGGAACCTGCCAATCTATCGGGATGGCGAAGTAGTCATACACATGCTCGTACAGGCGCGTGCAGTGAGCCCATGTGGGTACACGTGTGCCATATGTATTCGCAAGACGGAGCTTCAAGACACCCATGGTTTGCAAAAGAGCCTCACAATACATGTCACGCATATGTTCAAGGAGTTGACCAGCACTACCTTCTTTGGCTTTACCCTTCTTTGTTTGGCGCTTGGGGCCCACCACCGCCTCCCCCGTCACCTGGATTCTATCGATAACCTGATTGGG